TGATGATGATTCAGTCAGTAGCATTAACTCAGCGGTTTTTTATTTTTTGAGTTTCTGTTGCAATATTTTTACAACGTTGATGTTGTCAGTAGATCTATTACTTTTTTTACTGTTGTAATAGGGTGAAAAAGCTGGTCATACTGCAGTAAGATTGTACATTACCATTATCACATTGTAAGACAGGGTCATCCTAGATGGACATGTAATTCTTGCACATGGCCACCAGATGACCATGCAGTGCACATCCCAGTATATTGCTTTTGCCAGGAGTGACAGGTGCACCGCATACCTGCTTGTCGCTACCTGTAGAAATCAATGACAGGTTGGCTGAAGACATAACTGTACAGGTATCAGGACTGCATACCAGGACTCACAAACTGCACGGAACGCAGAGGGTCTGAGTTTGTTGCAGTGTATGGCTCAATTTTCTTCTGGGTTTAGTATCTCTGGCCATTCCAATTTGCTGACGTGGGTTGGTATAACTTATGTAAATGTCCACGAGAGTTATTAATTGAGGCACCAAGTCGTTCTGACAATGCAGATTCTCATGGCTCAGGGTACATTCAGAAGAAACATTGCTGACAGGCAGAAGAGGAGCTTGTATTGCAGATGAGACATACATGGCCTCTTCTGAAATAAAAGCCTACCTGCTAGAGATGCTTCTTCTTCAGGCTTTAGTTCCACTTTAAATACATCTGCACTCTTTTTTTTATCTTTTAAATATAAAAGTTCCGTCTAAAGGAAAACAAAAAATACCTGCTTTATTACCCAAAAAAGCTTCTTCTGCACCCTTCTTTGCTTTAGCTCAGTAAAGGTCAGTAAAGGCACTTTCATCGGACAGAGGGATGACAGTTGGTGAAACTTACCCATAAAGTCAGGGAAAGTCAGGCTCGAGTAACAAGATCAAATAAAATCAGGGAAGGGCACAGAAGAAGCTTTTCTAGAGAACAAAGGCTGGTGGTGGGCTTCTTAGAGTGCCTTCATTAGGACATGGCTTTTACATAGAAGCTCCCATTCATACCTAAGCATTTTGTTTCGCTAGAGCAACAGTGCTCAACCTAAAGAATCCTATTAATTTCAGTGGTGTCCATTCACACCTCGGTCGCTTGTAGCTTGATGCTCGAAAAAGTACATTAGCTTCTTATTTGGACAGAATTGCATGTTTTTGGCCCCATAGGCTTCAAAGGGAGTGTCCGAGAAAACGCACACAAAAAAAAAAAAACACCCACTCATGCCCAAGTGTGAATGGGGGCTAAAAGTTCAGTATGCTTCTGCATGCTTGCTCCTGTTTAGTGTTTAAAAAATACTGAAGCCAGAGACAGCCTGGAAGTCAGCATTGAAGTTACTTCACTGGTATGCACATTCCACAGTGTCACATTCACTGCAGTATAAATATATAAATGTGGCGAATGTGGGTCATCAGACGTTGCAACTTGTACTGTTAGGTTTGGTTTGCATGGTTTAATGGTTCACTCATACTGGAGTAGCCATTACACATTAATTGCTGGTATTCATGATAAAAGAAAGAACAGGAACTAGTGACATATATGTTAGGCACACTCCAAGTTAATAAAGAAAACAATAACTTAGAGTGACACTGGCTCTTGACTTGATTTCTGTTGTTTGCTTAGAGCGGCCTGGCTCCTAAGTAGTTATAGGCCATCATTATGGGCTCGTTTGGAGACAGTTACAGAGGCTGACATCTGTGTATTCAGCCACAGCTGTGATTACTTTTAATAATATGCTAAGCTCTATTTTCCCATCAACCCTATTAACCTTCACAGCTAAAGGTAATTAAGCATATCTGACTGAGAATTTGTCACCAGCCTGAAATATGAATGATTTGCTAGCATGCAAGTAATGTTGTCAGGCCTTTTGTTTCAGATGATATAGAAAAGTCTTAATATAAACCTGGCTATAAAATCTCTGGGCATTTTGGAACCAGAGATTATGGTAAGTTTCAACATCCCTTCTCTGACATGATGATAGGCAATCGGAATGGTGGGCTTTTTGGCTAAGATCAAGTGTAGTATCTGTTCTTATCATTGTCCAAGACGGGAAATGTGCCGCTGTTTTGGCCTTTTGGTAGGAATGGCTGGCTTTTCTAGGGTGTCTGGATTGAGTGCCCACTAGGTAAGGTAGGGGTCAGGAGTACTTTTCAGGGTCTATATGGTCTGGTGACAAGTGTGGGTATTTGGGCTTGCCCTAAAGTCTTGGGGGAGGATGTGTGGCCTTTAGGTATCTTCCTCCTGTAAACCTGGGACATCTATTTCAGGAGAGCCCCCAACCTACCTAGTACTTGGTGGTTGGCTTCAACTGATCATGAAGAGAGGGATCCGTCTGGCTTCAACTAGCTGAATCAGAGTGCTCTGCCCTTGTCGGGAGCCTTGTGTCCTGGGGTCAGTAAAGGGCCAGCAGTGAAGAGGAGAGAAGCCGCAGCTTTCAGGACGGCCAAACAGGGAAGAGAGAGCAGCCGCTGTCATACTGTCAGTTTCAGGATGACAGCGGCTGTGTGCGTGGCCGAGCGGAGGATCGGTAATTATCTGTGACATTTACCGATCCTCTGTGTGCACAGAACAAACACTGGAGTGATCATCTGATCACTCCAATGTTTGTAAATAACTGAGGACACATAGTACTATGTGTCCCCAGTTATGAATGAATTTCTCAATTTAAAATAGAAAAGAAATTGAGGACACAAAGTCCTCAATTTATTTTTCTGCAGCCTCAGCACTCAGTGAATGGGAAGCACTCAGTACAGAGGCTCCTCCTCATTCATAAACTGGTGATAATAAATGTTTTACTATCATCAGTTTCTGAATGAATGGGAAGCCTCTGTACTGAGTGCTTCCCATTCACTGAGTGCTGAGGCTGCAGACAAAGAAATTGAGGACTTTGTGTCCTCAATTTCTTTTCTATTTTAAAAGGGAAATATTGGATCTGTTTAGACCCCTAATATTTCCCCGAAGCCACCAACAGTAAAAAAAAAAAAAAAGAATTAAAAAAAATATAAAATTTTAAAAAGTATTGTAAAAAGTGAAAATTACCCCCACCCCTCCCCCCACACATGTATTTGTAGACAAGTGCAACAACTAAAAATTAAATGAAATTAACGAAAACTAAAAACGTTTTCATTCGTTTCATCAAACAAAACACATTTTTATGCTATTTTGGATTCAGCCACTGGCGTGTTCTGGAGGCAGGGCGCATGACGTCATATAACACCGCACGTGTTGGGCGCCGCCATCTTGGTGTATATCTAGGTATATCTAGCGCCTATATCGGCGTGTGACGTCACCTGACGCCATGCACGCATGGCGTCGTGTTACATCATGCTCCCCGCCTCCAAGATGGTGGCACGCATTTGCAGAATGCACCGGAGGCCAACATGGCCACTGTGCATTCTCAAACAAATTATTATATGCCTGAATACATTTTTGTATATTCAGGCAAATAGTAATTCATGAATTTTTCATGTAGTCTGGGTTTTGTGTTCTGTTTTTTATTTTTACTTTTTTAGATGCACCTACTTGAAAAAAGGGTATCGGCATGACAACCTGACTCTTTATTTTTATAGACTCTATTTTAGTTTGACATTTATTGTTTACCACTTGTTTGCCTTCTGTTTTTTTATTTAAATTTTTATGGTCCTCTGAGCCTCCCTTAGATTGGTGTGTTCACTAAAGATCATGGTGCAATAGAGGATCTAAAACAAGTGCAGGATTTAGGTGACTTTGCAAAGATGGAGAGAATTAATAGGTAAGCATTGTTGATGTGACACTGAGCTGGAAAAAGACATATTGCCTATCCCTGTGAAGGAAAAAGTTAAAGGAGAACTATGAGGTAAGTGCTTTTCACTCACCTCATTGTTCTACCCGACCTGTGACAATGAGAATGTCACAGGTCGGCTCAGTAGATCGAGAAGTGAGCGAACAGATACCGGCATTCGCTCACCTCTCGATCCTGTCACAACTCTCTGCCATGACAGGGGAGGGGCTGGATTCCCCCCTCCCCGCTCCGATCCACCAGCCCCGACGGGCGGATCGGGCGGGGGAGGGGGCGGGTACAGCTGGCTCTGCCTCTAGATAGGCAGAGCCAGCTGTCACTCACGCAGCTGGGCGGATCCAGACATAATTGTCGGGATCCGCTTCAGCTGTGGCGTCTCACTATACCGCGAGCTGTGGCTCGCGGTATACTGAGCTTAGGGCGATGGGAGGCTGCTAGTTTGTGTCCTCCCGTTACCCTAAAGAGAACTATGGGGAAATGCCTTAACCCCATAGTTCTCCTTTAAAGAAAATATTATTTAATCTCTACTAGGAATGAAAGAGTCATCGTAGTTTGCTGTCTAAGTAAGATATTGCAGGATTGTTACATTTGTGTCCAAATTGTTAACCAATCTCTGAAAATGATTTATACCAGGGGTTTGTGCAGTATTTTATATTCTTGTGTGGCTTTCAGGAAACGATTTAACTTTTTTTTCAGTGGAATGCTAATTACTTTTTGTATTTCTTACTGATTTAAAATTATGTTCTTCAAGACTAAGGAGGCTATTCACAAAGCTGGCGAAGGCAGCCGAGTGAATAACCCAGCCGAAGTGAAGTGAGCCAAACAACGTTCGGCTAATCACTACGGCTCAGTACGGCTGATCTCAGCTGTACATCGGCTGCACTTCAGGTCAGCCTAACATGCAGAAGGACTTCGACTCAGCCGATCCAACATCTGGATCAGCTGAGCCAAAGCTCCGGCAGCTCACTTGCTACCGTTCGCCCCTGTTCTCATAGGGGCCGAACGGCAGTGAATAAACAGCCAAATGCGCCGAGCGGCATTCGGCTTGGCTATTCTGCTCGGTACAGTAAATGCATGTTATGTTATTGGGTTTAGAAAGACTTGAAGTGCTATTGTAACAGGGTCCTTTGGCAAGTCTCAGTAACCATGACCAGTTCCAGTCATTGTGTCCATCACAGTGCACTCTCTAACCACCTTTCTTTTTTCTCTAATAGGGATAATATTTTGGTTCTGGATATTTTCTTTGAAGCTCTAAACTATGAAACTATTGAACAGAAGGCAGCATACGAGGTGGCGGGACTTCTTGGTGAGATTTCTGTTTAACCAAAATATATAACTCTTTTTTTTTTTCTCCACTTTGCAAGATTAATTTATTAATTTACTGATTGCAAAATAAACATGTCGGCAGTACGATATTTTTGCAGAAATATAACCGTTTATTAGAGACGTACCCATGGATAAACACTCTGCTAAAATCTAGTCATTCTTGTCCTAAAAAAAAAAAAAGGCAGAAAGAAGACTACAGGTGGAAGAAGTCTGCATTCCACATTAGTTAGGAGTAACATTTACATGGGGCAGGGGTAGGCAACCTTGGCACCCCAGCAGTGGTGGAAATAAGTCCCATGAGGCATTGCAGGACTCTGACAGCCACAGGCATGACTCCCAGCAACAAAGGCATAATGGGATTTTTAGCTTCACCACAGCTGAAGTGCGAAGGTCCCCTACCCCTGACATGGGCTATGTACACTCAAGTAGTTTACCCATGGATCCATTTTGGCTAGGGCTAGATTTCCATGTTTGGAGCTTGTAGGTGCACAGTCTTTGGCACACATACACAAAAAAAAAAAAAACCTTGGCTAGGATAACGTCTTTTACATTTTCTTGTTATATTGGATCTAACCTGATTTTGAATACTGCCACACTTCTGAGAAGACATATTTTTTTAATGATGACATGCATCCAATTACTGCTCAGAGAAAAATCACCTCTTTGCCATTTCTGGGTATGGGCACAGGTCTCCTGTGTCTAATGATGAATCTGGCCCTGGTCCCCACAAAGTTTTATTTTTTTTAAAGTCTGAGAAATGCTATAGGTAAACCAACTCTTCTCTATAATCACATGTACTATCATGGAAGGCAACTTGTACATACAGGAACAATTAGGTGCAAACTAAAAAAAAAATGCTTCACGCATCAGCAAAAATAGGCATGCACAGGGCTCTCCCTATAATGAGGCAGTCTGAGTTGGGTGCTTCAGATAGCATTTCATTGAGGGGCAGCGGCTGTGTTGGAGGGGGCGGCAGGAGAGCTCTTAGCAACCTGTGACGCTCTGTCTGGCTTCCTGCCCAGCTCACTGTTGTCGCCAGTTGCCAG